GTACAAAATCAATTTATTTCTCAGTTGTGAAGGCTGGCATTCTGGGATCCACCTACTGGCAGGGTTGGTATCATCCTGACGTTTCTCCTACTCCACATACAGGCTTCTGATCCACCGACTATCAACTGCTCCCTGTGTCCTCACAGCTCTTTCTTCTATAATATACCTTAATAATTCTCATTATCATGGCATCAGGGCCTACCCTAAAGATCTCCCCTCAATTACGTAGTTAGGGTCCTTACCTTTCTGATTACATTCTGAGGTACTGGGAGTTACAATTCCAACGTAAGAATTCTGGAGTCATGCAATACATAGCATAATAAGGCTTTTCTAACGTGTGTGTATGTGTGTGTGTGTTAATTTATAATATAGATATACTATGTCACAATCAAGTCAGAAACTACCTTTGAAGACTCTGAATAATTTAAAAGATATTGTAACTCTTAATATTGTACTGCAGCCTTTGGCTCCGTTCAGTCTTCAGACTCCTGTGAATACTCACGATGGAATCACCATCACAAACTCAAGCACTCCTGCTGGTATTCTTAACGAGGAAAAAAAAATTATAGCAGTGACCTTTTAGTGTAAAAGCTCTGGAACTCCTAGTCCCATGATTTTCCAAAAACATTTTCTATTGTTTTAATCCACAGTTACCAGTTCAGACCAGTGAGAGTCCAAGATAAACCATCTTCTACCTTCAAATTCAAAGGCTCTAGGTGTCTGGGAATAGAAGAGTTGGTGGTTGACTTAGATATATCACAAATCTACCTGCATAGCCTCAGGAAAAATAATGGTATCTTTTTCATATTCTATTATACAAAACAATAATCACTTGTCTTAAACTACAGTGCTTTCTGCTCCTAATCGTAAGATGTGTTTCTTTCTCTTTTCCTCATAACAAACCAAAGTAGCTCCTGATAAGATGAAAAGCAGGCAGCTATGCAGTGCTTCTCAGAAATTCGACTTTTAGATCCCAAAGATAGTAACACAGTCCAAATTATACTTTTTTGAGAAACTGTCACTAGGTACAAATGGATCAAAATTCCTATAATACCTAAGAGGGGAAGCATGTAGAGACGCATAGGAACAATCACAGATAATAAAGTTCTCAGTTAGTGTTTTCCTACCAATGCATAAACAAAGTGAGAAATAATAAAAATATTTTATTGTATATATAATTTTAATTTTTGTACATCAGTTTATAAAACATAAATATTGACCATATAAAATTTGTGAAAACACAATATACAAGCCATCTAAATCAAAAGCTAGCCTAGAAATAAAAAAATTTAAATTAAACACGCTACATATACATATCTATATGGTGTGCATAGATGAGCATCTTAAAATAGTACTTCAGGCTGCAGAGTACGGTGGCTCACACCTGCAATTGTAGCACTCAAGCGGCTAAGGCAGGAGGATTGCTTTAAGTTCAAGGCCAGCCTAGTCTATAAAATGAATTTCAGGCCAGCTTAGGATATACCAAGTGAGATCCTGTATCAAAAAAAAAAATTGTGTGTGTATGTGTGTGTGCTAAAGTAAATAAAAGATAGTATATGCCCTAAGCATGGGACAGATGTACTTTCCAGCTATGATGGAATCAGTCTGAAGTGATACACATTTGATTATTAGCAAGCAATCAGGTTCAGAATTCTGAAGACCCTATGTCTCTCAGGTTTTCTTTTTTACTTCATGTCTACTGTTAACTTTGATTTTGCCAATTTTTACCTCCTTAAGATTATCCATAAGTTGGTGTGAGAGATCCTGCTGTCTGTATGTTGCTTTTCTTGGTTAATGAATAAAGAAAACTGCCCTGGCCTGTTGATAGGTCAGAACTTAGGTAGACGGGGAAGACGGAACTGAATTTTGGGAGGAAGAAGGCAGAGTGAGACACTATGGAGCCGCCAGAGTCAGACATGCCGGAACTTTGCTGGTAAGCCATGACCTCATGGTGATATACAGATTAATAGAAATGGGTTCAATTGAGATGTAAGAATTTGCCAATAAGAAACTAGAGCTAATGGGTCAAGCAGTGATTTAATTAGTATAGTTTTTGTGTGGTTATTTTAGGGCTAAGCTAGCCGGGAGGGCAGGATGAATAAGCGGGCCTCCTGCAACAATAAGTGGTTAAAATTTCACAGATTTTAAAGATTAAGCCAAATTCTAACATTTCTAACTATATTCCATTATACACTAACAGATTGAAATGAACTTTAGGCTTTAGTATAAATGTGCATTAGTTAGATATTAATTACTTAGTTACATTTGTGAGCATACTGTCTTAGGATGATGCCAGAACTAAGACTTGGGAAGCCACCTGCATCTGTTGGGGTGGTAGCTAATGCCTTTAATCGGAGCATTTGAGAGGCAGAGGCAGGCAGATGGCTACTGAGTTCAAGGCCAACCTGGTCTTCACAGTGAATTCCATTCAGGCCAGCCAAAGCTACACAATCAGACCTTGACTAAATAAATAAATACCGACAACGTAATAAATATAAAATAATATGGGACAGCCAAATGTATAAGTGTTAAGCATTAAATAATGATAATGGAAATAAGATAACTAGGAAAAGCTTCCACAGGGAAATTATTACTGAATCAATTAATATCCTTTTAATTCTAGGAATCACACAACAAAAATGGAAAGAAGAAAACCATCAAATATATTTTAAGCTGAAGGCTAAGTCTGGGAGTTAATCAGATATATATAGGAAAACACTTCAACTTAACAGGAAAAACACTCTGAATACCTGACTAACAGAAGGAGACAGTGAATGAAACGCTAAGTGGTGGAGATGCTGGAGATGTGTGTGGGTGTGGTGCCTCTAGCTGTGAGCTACCTGATAGTCTGGGAACTGAAGTCAGGTCCTCTGCAAAGAGCAGCTGTCACTCCTAACCACTGAGCCATCTCCCCAGCCCCCACAGATGGTTCATCCACACCTATATGTAAGGAAATAATACTAACGAAGTGTGTCTTAGTCACCCAAAGGCAGGACCATAAAATTCTTTCTACAACCAGATGACAGGCTAGGCTAGGCTATTAGGAGACATTAAGAGAGTTAAAATTAGCATCATCCCTTTGGAGTCAGGTCACCTCAAAGTAAAAAAAATAAAATAAAACAACTGAATTAAAAATCCTGTCCTACTAATGAAGACAGAGGACTCTTGAATGTACGACAGCTAACCGCTTTCAACGACAGGACTTTCTCGAGGCACCATACTGATCCTAAGGCTAAATAAATTCATTTTATTGATTGCCCCAGAATGACCCAGATTTTTTTTTTCTTTTCGAGACAGGGTTTCTCTGTGTAGCTTTGGAGCCTGTTGTGGAACTCACTCTGTAGACCAGGTTGGCCTCAAACTCATATAGATCCACCTGCCTCTGCCTCCGGAGTGCTGGGATTAAAGGTGTGCGCCACCACCGCCCGGCTGACCCAGATTTCTACGCCACTGTTTTCTCTGTATTTGATATATTACAGAAAAATGTGTGAATACATTAACGCTACATTTTTCTACCATTGCTGCAAGATCTTTGTGACAATGTTATCCTAAATTGGCATCAGCTATTACAGGAGGGCACTTCTGAACACAGTGCGGTGAGCATACCTTTGCTAAGGGATGGTCAGGCCTGTCTATCCACTCTCAACAAACACATCAATCTTGACTTAAGAAAAGCAAACAGGTTATACTACTCAGGTGATCTTGTCAAAGCAATCCAGGATTTCGTCATAAATTAGGGCAGGCAGGTAACAGGTGAAAGTCGTAAGTGGATCTGTCACGCCAAAGTTTACCTTTGTTCTAGTGAAAATAAGCCTCGACCTACAGAGTAATAAAGGAAGGAAAAAAATCAAACTGGCAATTTATTTTGAGGGAAAAATAAGTAGGAAAAGTTAAAAATTTATAGCATGTACGATAAAATAGCTCTAATAACAAATGATAAAGATTTGTAAATGTCACCACAAAAAAATTGGAAACTCAAAACTAGCTATAATATATGAAATAATCACACCTCAGTAAGTTACTAATAATGATCAACAAGTCACCAACAACAGGACTAGCAGGGAATGAAGAGATCCACTTCTTAATAAAACAGGAGGTTCACTAAAGTGATAACCCAAACGAGTGAACAGGCCTCCACGCTGACACTCAGGTCACGCTCCACGTACTGAATAAATTGGAAATGTCAGGAACACGCACCAATCTAAAGACAAACCACGCTGTAAAATAAGACCTAGTTATTTAAAAAAAAAAAAGATTGATTCTAAAGTGTTTTTATTTAGGAGAGTTCTTGGGTGTGGAGTGGGAGAAGAGATGTCACAGCTTGGGAAAAAAAGAACTCTGATTAGGGCATACACTGGATTTCCTTTCAATAAAAAAAGAGAGAGAGAGAACAGGTTAGTAACTTCCCAAGAGCTAGAATTTAGAAAGAAAAAGAAATGGATAAAATAAACGGCTTTAGCACAATCTCACGTAAGTTTTCCCAGCAAGGCATGCACGCAGGGTCCAAGAGAAGCCACCCACCATGCATCCTTAGCCTCTTAACCATACCATCCCAGAAACCAAGAGGCCCTGCATCCCCCGACAGGGTCGATGGGATCCCAGGCACTCAACCCATCTCTGTTCAGGCTGGACCAGCAGAGCCACTGTCTCCACAGCAGCCTCCCGTCACTGCCAGTCCAGCCAGTCACCTGTACAAGGATGGCACATCGCGGCTGCCCTGGCCGCCCGCCCGCCTGCCACCCTCACGGAAACCGCTCAATTGCTACACTGGACCACACGTCCCTTCCCGGGCTGGGCTCCTGGTTCTCGGGAGAAGCGCAGACAAAGCAGTCCGGGGCCCAAGTTACATCTCCCGGGGGTCCCCCAGCGGATGCCGAGGGGCGCGGGCGCCGGCTCCGCCGTGGCCTCCCCGGACGTCCCCTCGGTGGGACGCGGGTCCCCGCGGCCCAGGGGCCGGCGGCGGGGCCCGGGGCGGCTCTCCGCGGGGCCGCGGGGCTCACCTTGTTGAGATGCGGATCTCGCGTCAGCAGGTAGCCGCGCTGGTGGGTGTGGCGGCGGCGGGGGGCTCGGGGCTCCATGGCCGGCACGGTGGCGGGGCGGGCGCGGAGTGCGGCGGGCGGCGGCCGCGCGAGGGAAGGCCCCGCGGCCGGGGGCGGGCGTGGGTGGCGAGAGGGGGTGGCGAGGCGGGAGGAGCCCGCGCCTTGCCGCCGCCGCCGCGGCCGGGCGGCCCGCGAGAAGCGCTGAGTCACCGCGGCATCGGCCGAGCCGCCGTGCGAGCAGGCGGGGGCGGGGCGCCGGGCGGGCGGGCGGGCGGCGAGCGGGCCACCTGGGCCCGGACGGGTGAGGGGCGGGCCGCCCGGAGTCCTGGCTTCCTCCGCGTGGTCCACTGTCCTCCCCTAACCCCGCCGTCCTGGATGCCAGCCATGCCCCGATGCAGGAGAGGGTCAACTATGACACAGAAAGCCCAGGCCTCGATGGCACTGGGCGAGGGAGCGACTCCTCGGCTGTTCCGAAGTAGTGTCTAATGGAAATTATATCTGAATGTGATAAACGGAAAGGTGTTAACAGTGCAGGGGGTCCACTGAACAGTCCTACTGGGCTTAAGGACGGTCTTCCTGCGTGTTCTGGAAACCAAGATGTTAATTTTGTAAGGCTATGGTTTCTTCGCTGATGAAAGACGGTCAGTATTGAAATTCTGTGGTTGTATTATTGATATTTATACTTGAAGATTCAAGGACTGGAGAAGTAGACCGATCCCACTCTGCCGAAAGAAATTGATTTAAAAAAAAAAAAAGTAGCCTTCAGACGCCAATGCCTTCCGTGCCTCCTTTCTTTTCTGTAAAGTAGGATGGCCAGATTCTATGGTCTTCATCTAGACACTGCAGGACAGCGTGTGGGGTTATATATTGTCTTTGTACCGATAAAATAGACATTTCTACATGATCAATACAATAGTAGTTCTTGGGCTATGTTTGAATGAATACAGAAGTTGTTTTGGCCTACTTTTTAAATAGAATAGAATCAGGTATTTTATAGAGAACATTTTATTAGCATCGCAGAGTTCTTCAAAAACAATTCTTGCATTTAAGTACACCTTTCATTGTGAATTTTATAATCCATAAATGATTAACCTCGTAACATCTGAGAAGAAGGTGTACTTTACAAAGCTTACTCTCCTAAATTGGAGGAGGCGCTTTTCAATTAGAGTCCTTTGTGTGAGCCAAAAAGAGTTTAACAGCCCATCGGGAAGATGGTCAAGGCGGAGCAAAATAAAACGGTATAATGAACCTGTTAGGACATGAATTTAGAGATGTTACTTGTCCATTAAGACCATGGGACTTAAGGTCTGTAACCAGGAACACAGATACAGAATAACCCATAAAGACGGAAAGGCCTCTTTCTACAAGCCAACATTACAAAGAGTTAAAAAGAACAAAAACCCTCCAGGCTAGGTAAACTTCCTATCTTTTACTTGTATGCTTGCTGCTTTTCCAATGACAGTTCTGGTCTTGCAGCCTAAGGAGCTATTTTGTACATCCACAGGCACTTGCACAAAGCACTCCAAAGAACCAGTTCCTCACGTGTCCACAAGAAACACCACACTTTTCACTCTTTTTAATCGTTTGTAAAATTAGATTTTATTGCCAAAAATGTAGATAAGGGAGTGCATAGATTTGGAAAAAAAAAAAAAAAACCTCCTTTGCCTTCACTTCCCTTGGAAGAAACTGTATTTGCAATGTCACTCTGTGCATAATTGATAATGTTAAGTATGTTAAAAATAGGTGCTGAAGAGATAGCTCAGCACTTAAAAGCACTCGGTGCGCTCACAGAGGTCTCAAGTTCAGTTCCCAAGGTCCAAGCGGTGTGGCTTACAACTATCTGGAACTCCATCCAGTTCCTCAGACACTGCGTGGATGCGGTATACTACATGCATGCAGGCAGACATTTATATACATAAAATAAATTGTACATAAAATAGAATGTTCGGAAAAGCATTTGTTTAGCGTGACTGAAGTTCTTAGTCCGACCTCCAGTGCATAAGGTATTCAAAATGCATTCAAAATATTTGCTGAACCCTTACCATATACTAACCTTCAGGCTGGGTCACCGTTACAGTCAATATATAGGAAGAGATGTAGAAAATCCCAACATCTAAACTATGAGAAATTAGAGATTTCAGTAATTAGCAACAGGAAGTCGCATTTTAAAATATGCTTTTACTTATTTTATTTATTTATTTTTTTAGCACAGGATGTTTTCTCTTTAAGTACCTGAAAATGTCTTTTAATGCTGGAAGCATTTTCTCAGGGGTAACTAAAAGAGAAAACCCATAATGCCTCACTTTACATGTATGTAGCAAACATGTCCTCCACTGAGGTAGCCCTGGAAATATTCCATCAACACGGAATGGGAAACTCTGTGTAGACAGGTCATAGCTGACATACAAGTCCATCAAAATGCATTAAAGCGAGAATCTGGACTCTGCAGTCAGATTTCCTTGGCTTATTCTGGCTTATCTGTCCCAAGCTTGTGTGCCCTTGACAATTTAGTAACCCGCCTGTCTCCCTTACTTTCTTTAATAATAAGAACTATGTATTTGTGAATTGAAAAGAAAAGAAGTCGGGCATATCGTTCTGGTTTCCTAATTTTATCTTTTTTTCTCCCTTTTTGAAGTGAGAACATAGTTCCCCCACTGCCACAAATATGCAGTTGAGTCTCCCATGTTTGGGGAAACCTCGGGGGTTAGCAGACTTGGAGTGGAGTGATGAGCTTTGCCTTAGGAAAGCTGCCTACATCACCATGGTATTTCCCCTGCCAAGTGAGTCTGCAATTTACCTTTTACAATGAAAAACATTATCATCTGCCACAACAAAAAGAAAATTAATTTGGGTGTTATCTATGTTTTGCTTTTGTGCTTTGGTTTTGGATTTGTTTGTTTTGTTTTTTAGTTTTGTTGGGTCTGTTGTTGTTGTTGAGACAGTTTCCCTAAATAACCCAAGTAGGCCTGGAACTTGTGATTCTTCTGCCTCAGCCTCCTGAGTATTGAGATTACAGGTGTATCCCACCATGCCTGACTTCTGAACTTGCTTTAGGAATACAAATTTTACTTAAAATTTTAAGAGTTAGAGGCCTTTGTGTTACAAAGCAGGATGAACAGACTTTATTGCGGTTAAGTGTTAACCTTGTGTGATTGATAGCATTGTGCTCAATTTTTCTGTTTGTATTCAATTCTCTTTTATAATAAAGTAAGTGGTTTTTGAAATTGTTTTTGTCTGCATCGTATTTTTTTTAATTCAGAGAAAAGATATTTGGAAACAGATTCATGGAAGGATTTTTGTTTTGTTTTGTTTTGGTTTGTTTTGGTTTTACCAGATATCACATAGCTTCCCCGATATGTAATTTATCTATCTAGGTCTAAGGTCAGCTATGAAGTGTATGCTAAAGTTCGCCTTTCTCATTGGCTTCTCTAGGCTGAAGAGCAGGAGCTCTGTTCGGTCTACAGGAATGAGAAAGTGTGTTCCTCTCCAAAGTGGAGAAGGACATAGAGTATCCCAGTCCGGTGCAACACATACTTCATTGCTCTATGACATTGCCTCAAAACAATTAAACAATGGCACTCACCATGTGCTCCCTGCCTAATGGGAGAGTGGTCTGGTTTCTTAGTACTGGCCCATGGTTTCTCACATGGCCACAGTGAGAGGAAATGACATGCCCATCAAGTCTCAGCTACTCTGAAGGCAGTATGACTTTTAAAGCAGGAATTCATCAAGCCAGCCTAGGGAACATAGTGAGTGAGAGCTTATCTCAAAGAAAGAAAGGAAAGAAGAGGGAAGAGGAGGAGAGGGGAAGTAGGCTTGGAATAAAGTGTATCTGCCTGGCAGTTGGGGCCTGTTTCCCTCTGTATCTGTCTTCAGGGAGTCTCAGGGTCTCTCCATACATGGCTCCTCATTATGGGCTGATTTGAGGTTCTCACGCACTACTAAACAATTGACATGGAGCCTGGCCTGTATGGATGCCGAGCAAGTATTCCAAAGGACAGGCTAGACAGTGTTTTTCCTCCAGATGACCTAGCCTGGGAAGTCACATATTGCCAGTTCTCTGTGACTCCAATGCGAGGAATGTCAAAGTCACATTGTAAGAAGAGTTCGCTTGCTGCAGAAGCTGTTGAAGCAGCTTTGAAAACACAATCTTCCGCTCTGGTCCATGAAGCGCTCTGTTCACCTGTGCCCATCACTAGCTCACCTAGCATATGGAGTGGGTGATAGGCTTGACATAGATTACAGACAGGTATATAAAATGTGTATAAGTAAGCAAGTTGAGAAGATCCTAGTTCAGTAAAGTAATTTAAAGAGTGCATATATCAGACTCATAAAGCACCAGAGCTCATGAGGACTTGAATCAATCCCTAAAAGCCAGGCTTGGAGCATGCATTTGTAACAATCCCAGCATTGCGGCAGCAGAAATGAGTGGTGCCCTTGGGCCCCTGGGCTCCCTGGGCAGCTAGCTTAGCCTAAGCAAGTTCCAGGTCACTAAGCGATCTTGTTGTGACAAGGTAGACAGCTCCTGAAGAACAACACACGAGGTGACTTCTGGCCTCCATACGTGTGCACACGTATACATATGAACCCACGCACAAAGTATATCATCATAATTCAGTTCAAATTCAGACTTAAACCCTTAGGGTTATTTTCAGTATATCTGTTGCCATGGTTACTGCTGATAACTGTCTAGAAAGAGGTTTCAAAATGCCTTCCAAATTCCTTTCCTTTTGGATTAGTGAGATGTATTTTCTTTAAATTTTTTGAAAAATAGAAATCCCTTAAAAATATGTTACGACTCATTCAGAGTTAAATTACCCACAATACAACATTCTGCAATGTACCTTAAGTATCATAGCTAGATCACTAAATTACACGAGTTTCATAGAAGGTGAACAAGGAGCCATGAAAGAATTACATATTTGAGACAGGCCAGCTTGTTCTACAGAGAGAGTTCCAGGACAGCCAAAGCTACACAGAGAAACCCTATCTCAAACAAACAAACAAAAAATATTTGAAACATGGCTGAGCCTGTTAGAACCATGCATTACTTAGCTGTAATAACCAGTATAGTAATAATTAATAATATTAAAAAATAATGCCAGAATCTAAATAGTAACGATAGATAATTTTTTAATTTAGAAAAATATGCTCCAAGACTGTTAACAGTACATTTTGTTTTATAATTCTACCATGTTTGAGGTTGACATAAAGGGCTTATATTATTTC